ACATTGAAGGCGAATTCGGAGAGGTCGTCGATCTCGCCTGCGAAGCAGTTCCAGAGGCAGCGCGCAGCATCTGTCAGGTCGCGTACAAACGGCAACCAGGCCACGTGTGGATGTCGCACTTCAGAGGAAGCCAATGGGCAGACCATTCCCTGCTGCACCAGAGGCAGCAGCCAGCCATGCAATCTTTGACGAACACAAGCCTCGAAAGCGAGCGCGGACCTCGAAGGGTCGGCTCGGTCGATGGCTTGCGCAGCCAGAAGGTAGGGCAAGAGGTCGGCTGGAGTAACTAAAAAGATGTAACAGAATAAAGCAATTAATTGAAATTGGGTAAAAATGAAATTTTAATTAATCAAAACTAGAACTGTTATAAAAACTACAAATAATTAGTAACAAAAAAGATGTAACAGAATAAAGCAGTAAAAATGAAATTAGAATTAATCAAAACTAGAACGAATAAAAATAATGCTTAAAAGCATTAGTTCGCGTTGACTAAAATTAGTGAAACTGACTGAAACTAATTCAAAATGAATTCAAACCAAATAAAACTATTCAAAATTTCTAAAATACAATAAGTGAAATACATGTCCTTCAAATTGATGAACGTTTAAAAAAACGCAAATGATGAAAACAAATGAACTACAACTAATTAACTGAATAAAATTATGAAAAACTCGTTAAAAACACTTAACATCACTTAGAACTCTTTAAAAAGCTCGTTAATGCTACTGAAAAATAGTTAAATTTCAACAAAAACATTGAAACCATAGCAAACTCACTAAAATGAAATAGACTCATTCGAAAAAAACAATAGCATTAATGAACGTTCATTGTCATTGAGCAAAATTCATGCAAATCTATTGGAATGGATGAAAAATATAACAGATCAAAATTAAGCAAAATGAATTACAGCTACTCGAAAGTGACTCAGAGTAGTTAAAACTCATTCAAATTCAATAAAACTCGTTACATCTACATAAAAATATTGAAAACTTATCAAAAAGCGTGTTAAAATATAAACAACGACTATAAAAACGAAAAATCTAATTGACATGTATACAAAATATGTAAGTTTAACTCAAACTAATCGGAATTAATGAAATGAATGAAAAAATAACCAAAACTATTTAACATGAAAATGTAGTTACAATTGAGACAAATTAAAAGGAACTACGGGTCACTAAACTCTGCAGGTTGGTTATGCTAAATTCTTTAAACATTAATTAAAACTTATTCAAATACAACTGATTGCAATGTATGAAGATTAATGAAAAATGCCTTAACTTAATGAAAGCTTCTTGAAATTTATAAACCTAATGGAAGCCAATTAACAATGACAAAAGTTCATTCAAATTCGTGAAATGAGTGAGAAAACTTAGATTAGTTGCAATTACTCTAACTAATTGAGATGAGATTTAGACTTTTCTAAATGAAGTGAAAGAAATTAAACATTAGCTACAGGTAATTAAATGTATTTAAAATTAGTTCACAACTATGTCAACCGAATCATGAATTATGAATGAATGAAAATTAAAGAAAATAGACTAACTAAAACTCATTCAGGTAAATTAAGCAAAATTAACTCAAATTCAGCAAAGTATATGTAAACTTCATAAAATTCACGAAAATTAATGAAAACTAGTCAACAGAAACTAAAACAAAGTAAAATCAATAAAGGCCAAATACAATCAACTAAAATCAACTTCAAGCTTAAATCATTCAGAATAACTAAACTTGATCAAAACTGATACAAATTAAAACAAACGTAAGTTACTTGAAACTGATCGAAAGTCAAAATTAATTAACGCGAGCGAAGGTATTAAGAACAATTAAGGATCAGTTAAAATGAATTGGAATAAGCCTTAACTAAATTACTCAAAATTAAGTAACATGCATTCATATCTTGCAAAAATTATTCCATTTTTATAAATTTCTCAAATTCATTCCAAAAAAAACTCAACTTGGTCGAAAAACATGAAAATTGATTACGGTTAACTAAAACTGTGTCAAAATAATTTGCACTCGTTGAAATTGGTGAAAATCAAGAAACAACATATTAAAATAAATTGAAAATTGAAACGTAAATTTAGCAAATTACTGCACAATATTTTCCTAATTACAACACTGAATAAAAATAGGTAGAATTAAGCTATAATCCTGTCAAAACTAATCGGGATCCCGTTAGAACTAGCAAGAAGCAAAAAGTCATAATAAGAATCCAATTCAACCTGAAAGGAACCCTATTAAAAAGAATAGGGATCCTGTTGCAAAAACGAAAAACCCTAAAAAAAACTAATAGAAACCTCATCCAAAGTTAATAGGACTCAGAACTCCCATTAAGAACTGAAAAAGAATTCGATTTATATGAACAGGAATCCTACTTCAGATAATAGGAATCACCCTTTCGTCCCGCGGCCCTCCCCCCGGGGTTTGGGGGTGGGGCTGTTTTTTTGCGCACACAAAATTTCTCCAGCAGTAATTTCTGGCCCGGGGGTTAATTTGGCAGTCCCCCTTGAACAAAAACAGTCTAACTGCAAGTGCCGCTTTGTCAGTATTGTGTTGGAAGTACTTGCAGCTTTAAATATACTACTATCTGCATAAATCTATGTATGTATAAACCAGGGTGGGAGCTTTCACCGAACCCGGAAGTGTATGCATCACGGTTCAGCACTTCAGCGTTGCATCTACATATTTTCTATATATATATATATATATGCATATGTATTCATATGCATTCTGGACACGTATTCTAGCTACTTACTGACTGCATCGTTGGGAAAATTCTCTATCTGCACCACAGGAAAATGAATGTTCTATCTGCACCGTTTTTGGGTGGGCAGGTGTAGATTTTTGGAAACGCAAAAAAACAAGCTTGCCTGCGCCTCGCTCAGTGCGAAGTCCCCGTGGAGGAGGGCAGGGACCTCTTTCGTTGGCTTTTGCACGCAAGGCAAGCTGTGTTATGGAGCCCGACTATACCTACCCTAAAACCCCTTTTTAGAGTACTTGTAGCCCCGGTTTGTACTTACCCAGTGGATGAGCGGACGGAGTGAAAGACAGCGGCTTCTGGATTCACCAGGGCTTAGGGCATAGGATTCTCTGAACCTGTCTTGCTCTTTTGGTGTTCAGGGTCTTCGGGGCTTCAGAGCACCCGAAGCCTACTTGGGCCTTCTGGGGCCTTGGGGCCTTGCCAACCCTGGGGCTCCGCCTGGTGCCGGGGATTCACCTGCAGGAAGGCTTCCTCACCTCGGCTCTCAAGGGTCTAGGGTTTAAGGTTTAGAGCTTAAAGGTCTAGGGGTTTAGTGTTGGGGGTTTAGGGTGAATTAGGGTTTCAGGTTTCAGGTCCGGGGTTTAGTCCTTGACAACAGTTGAGGGTTTCAATCTAAACTTGCACTCAGAAGGAATTTCCAAAGTCAAAGAAAGCCGTCCAATGTTCGCCCAATTGCGGTGCTGTCCGCGGCCAAGCCATGTGGGACGAAGGCGGAGCGTCTGAGCCGCAGCTTGGGTTCAGGGTTTTTGGCTGAGGGCTGGTGCAGGGTTGAGGGAGGCAGTCGCAGGCAAATCCGAAACCCCAAACCCCTTAGCCCCAAACATCTAAACCCTATACTAGGCCCTATACCATCCACGAAGCAGTCCGAGGAGCAATGCCAGCGGCCTGGGGCTGAAGTGATGCGCGGGTTTAAGGGCTTCAAGGGCCTTGAGGGGTCCAGGCTTTAGGGGCTTTGGGGCTTGACGCTCCTTCTAGGGCTTAGGATTTTGGGATTTTGGGGGTCTCGGCTTCAGGTTTGTGCGCGGATTGTTGCTTTGCTCTTTGGCATTCTGGGCATTTTCGGGCTTCAGAGTTGAGGGTTTGGGGCTTTGGGTGGCTTGGTGGGGTTCATGAAAATTGGTGTTGGGCGCACTTGAGCTTTCTTTGCTTTGTTCTCGGCCTTTTGGGGTTCATGGCTTCATGGCTGGAGGTTTGGCGGCTGGGGGCTTAGGGTTGAGGATTGAGGGTTCAACTTACATGGCAATTGTGAGGGGAGTACATTGCTAAGCATTCAGCTCCCGTACGAGTAGAACACTAGAGAGCCCCAAGTCGTCAGAACCCGAAACCATCCTCGGAAGCTGCAGTTAGCCATCCCAGAACAACTTCTTTTGCGTCTTGATCTGAATGGCCTACTTGGGGGCGCTTCTACTCCAGCAACTCTTGCTTCTGGCCATGTCCCTAACCCAAAACCCCCCCAAAAAAAAAAAAACATTCGGGGCGGGGGGGGGCGGGGTGCTTTGGACGAAGGGCCTGGCAGAGCCAGTGCACGGAGCGGCAGGGCTCCGAAGTGGGGTCCGTGAAGAGGATCGGGGCCGCCATGGCGGGGGGTTCAGGGTTGAGGGATCTGGGCTTTAGGGGCTGCAGGGTTCAGGGCCTGTGCCGGAGGGCTTTTTGGGTTCTGGAGTTTTCAGGGTTTAGGGGGTTTAGGGTTTAGGGGGTTTAGGGGGTTTAGGGGGTTTAGGGGGTTTAGGGTTTAGGGGGGTTTTAGGGGGTTTTAGGGGGTTTTAGGAGGGGGTTTTAGGAGGGGTTTTGGGGGGGGTTTAGGGGGGTTCAGGGGGTTTAGGGGGTTGAGGGGGTTTGGGGGGTTGACGGGGTCTACTGGAGGGGCCTTTCCAAAGGGCTTAAGCCTGGCGATGGCGGCAGGATGCTTCTGTTTGGGGCTCGGGGCTTAAAGCTTCCAGGTTCTCTAGGGCGGCAGGGATGTCAGAAAGGCTTCAGGGCATTCAGGGATTTTAGGGTTTTAGGTATGTAAGGGTGTTAGGGTTGTAGGGCGGGCTGTTGGGCTTTTGCGGGCCTTAGGGGCTTTCGAGTAGGTTCGTTCCGGGCCTGAACAAAGTCTGCCCTGACTCTGACATTTGGAGGTTTTTTGAAAATAAAAGTTGAAACCCTGAACCCTGAAACTAAGCCCTTCTTTTATGCCCCACACACACACACACACCTAAACCCACCCACCTATAGACTCCCCTTCCCCTCCCGCCTTCTCCCCGCGGGCACGCTGGAGGGCCTTCTCGTAGGCGAGCTCCTGCGGAGCTTCAGGGGGCTGGTTTCGGGCGTTCAGGGCCTGAGTATGCCAGAGGGTGGTCGGCCCTGAACCGCCCAAGTTTCAGCAAAACAACAATCCTAAACCCCGAGCCCACGCAACCTCTCAAAACCCCTCAAGCGTGTTTCCTGTCGGCAACTCCCCCCCATTCCGCATGGTATCACTGGCATCACCTAAACCCTAAAAATCAAAAACCTCACGCAAATTCCCTGTCAAAAATGCCAAACCCTGAATTACTGAAATCCTAACGAAGAATCCAAAAGCCTAAACGCCTGGACCGTAGCCCTAAACCCTACAACCCCAAAACCCAAAAAAAACACCAGGTGGAGAGGACCATGGGGAGGGGAGAAAAGGACGGTCATGTCCCCCAACCCTTGTCAAATCCCCACATGATCCCTACAATGATCGCCAAGTTTATCCCTACACCCTAATCTCGAAGCTATGAAATGATCTCCGAGCCCCTTTTTGCAGTGCCTCTACTATTGACTCTCTCACAGCCCCCCCGCGCCTTCCGAAGCTCCTCGCCCTCACCCCGACGCTCGGCCTCGCGCAGCTTCGCCGCGTCGGCCTGAGTGTCGGGGGAGAGAAGTCAAAGGCTTGTAGGCCTTTTGCGGTTTAGGGTTTAGGGTTTGGGGTTTAGGGTTTAGGGTTTAGGGTTCAGGGCTTTCAGTGTGGAAACACCCCCCTGAAACCGAGGCGAGGCCTCCTGCTTCCGCAGCTCGGCTTGCAATTTCTTCACCTGCTTTTGGTGGGTTTCGGGCTTAAAGGTTTAGGAGGACTTGGGGTTTCGGGGGTTGGTTTCCAAGAAGCTTCGGTTCATGGGTATTTAGTGCTAGGTCAGAGTTTACGTTAATGAAAAATTTAATAGGGGGTAGCCCCATATGCTCGTAGAGTTTAGGAACTTGGTGGGATGAGCAGGTATTGCGTCCTAACATGTTGAGAAACCTTCAGAGTGCTAATGCCCTATCAAATGCCTGGTAAGAAAGGTTCGGTCCGAAGGGGAGGCAGAACCCTCTTTCCGCGTGCCTTCTTCCCACGGTGGCCAACGCTGGCCTCGAAGGGCAGACCGGACGCCTCTGCCTCGGAATTCAATGGAGTTTTTCGGGCTTACAGGGCTTGCAGGGCGGATAGGGCTTGTAGGGCTTACAAATGGGGCTTGTAGGCCTTGCACAGGTTTAACGTGCGCAAGCTTGCAAGGCCTTCGGAGTCGCAAGCGCCCGCTAAGGCCAGAGCGTCACTACACCTCGCCCTCAAAAGTAAACCCTCCACCCCTCAACTGATAACCCCCGAACTTCGAAACAACAAACCCCAAAACCCCTAGAACCCTACCCCCAAACTAAACCCTAAAGCCCTGTCTTTGACCCGTACTGACGCCGAGGCGTGTGACGGGACAGCCCGTTAAAAAAAAAAAAACAAACCCTGAACCCACTGAGGCAGCAACGTCGAAGCTGACTCGGCCAACCTTGTGCAGGTGCGAGCTTCCCAACCGAACTAGGAGGTTGGTTTACGGGTTTTGGGCTAAGGCTGAAACCCTGAACTTAAAGCCGCAAATCCCTCAACTTTCAAACGCTCCCTAGGAGGAGTTAGGGTCCGGGGACCTTGAACGTCCAAAATGACCGAGAACCCCTTACGAATTTCTTTAAATACATACACCCCACACAACAAAACCTCCAAACCCAAGGAACCATCTCACCTTAGAACCCTGAAGCTCTGAAGCCTGTTACCCCCCCCCCCTCCCCCCAAAGAACGACCCTGAAGAGCGATGAAGAGCCATTCATCCCCAAGCCCTAGACCCTAAACCCTTCAACCCCTTAAAACCCCCCTGACCCCGCAAACCCTGAACCCTGAAAAGCCGGTAAAACCTAAACCTGAAAAGCCGGAATGCTTCAAGGCTTACAAACCCTGAAATCCCGGAGAACCCTTCAGCCCCGGGTTTCCCACCTCGGGCTCCTCATCTTCCTCGGCCTGGGCCGCTCGCCCGCGTGCCTTTCGTGGGTTAGGCTCTCAAGAGATCGCTGCTCCGGAAGCTATGCTTTTCAGCAGAGAAGCTTGCCGAAGCTACCCCCAGGCCCAATGGCATTTTGGCTTAAGACCACGGCTGAGACTGCTTGCTTCTCGACTCATCCCCCTTCCTCATGCCCGCAGACCCTTAGATTTCTGGCACCATCTCTTGCCTCGGATTTGTGGTTGGTCTTCCTGGCGCCAGGATGAGTTCCGAATTCGGGCGCTCAGCTTTGACCCTAAACTCCAAACCCATACCCTAAACTCGAAACCCAAGACCCTAAACCCTAGGGTAGGTCGGGCAGGTGAGGTCCAACTAAAGCCTTGGGTTTCGTGGCATTGGGCTTTTCTGAGTTGGGGTTTAGGGCTTCGGGTTTTGGGATTTAGGGTTTCGGGTTTTAAGGATCTCGGGTTTAGGGCTTGCGAAATTCCTGTGCAAGAGCTGCTGCTCCCAAGCCTGCAACCGACCCCCAACGCTAAAGCTCACCCCAAGCCCCTGAAACTCCCGAAACGACCCTACAAGATACACTGAACTACCCCGAACCGAATTTCTCCAACCTACCCTTTCAAACTATCCTATAACCCCGAAGCTTTCTATCCGTCACCCCTGAAACTGCCTTGCAGTTCCCTGAGCTGTATATAAAAACACAGGCAGGCTCGACACTCCGTTCGGAGCAGACGCCGCCGCCTCGGCCAGCTACGGATCCAGGGATGAGGGCGCTCTTTAGGGCTTGAAGATGGGGGAAGTTTGCGGCTTAGGGTAGTTGAGCAAGTTTTTAAGTTTTTAGTGACCACCTAGTATAGAGGAAGGCGCCACCACAATGCCTCAAGTGCTAAAGCCCCAAAGCCCGGCCTGCCCCAAGAAGCCCCGCCCCAGAAGCCATAAAGTCTGCAAATCCGAAACCCTGCAAAACCCTAACGACAACAGCCCTAAAAGTCATAAAGCCGCTGCGCCGCCTTCTCGCGAGCGGCCCGAACTTCTGCAGCCTTGGCCTTCGGCACAGGGTAGAGTTGAGGGTTTAGGAGTTTAAGGTTTAGGGTTTAGGGTGTAGGGTTTAGGGTTTAGAGAGTTTGCGGTTTAGAACCTGGGCTTTTTTCTTGGGGGAGGGGGGGCCTCTGCTTCTAGGTTTCAGGAGCTGTTTGAGATCCAGGATTTCCCCTCCTGAGGACCCTAATACCCGAAGCCCTAGAAAAGACCCTAGTTCAACCCTAACACCTTAAACCCTGAAACCCCTACGCTAAACCCGAATATGCTAACCCCAAACCCAGGCCCTGAAGACCCTGAACAACTGCAAGACCCCAAACCCCTGCACCTTGTCGGCCTCGGACTGCTTGCGCCGGCGCCTTACGGGAGATAAGCAAGCGAGACCGAAGCCGAAGGGGACTCCCTATGCGGGCAACCCACAGACTGGGGGTTAAGACTTTGGGGTCAGGGCGTAGGGCTTCGGATCATAGGATGCCTTATAGGGAGGCCTGGTAGGAGGTCTTTGGGCCCTACAAACCTTTGTGGGTTCAAACCCGATGTGAATCCAGGGATGCGAAAAACATCGCTGAGCCGCCAGTCCTTGAACCCGAACCCCAAATACGCCCTAAGCCCTGTAATTAGGGCTTAAGGATTTTTGGGCGTCGGGTTTGAGGAGCCCTGAAGAAGCTTGACCTCCTAAACTTCCAAAAAACATTGAAAACACTTAAACCCTGAACCCTCAAAACCCTTCCACCCCCTTCATGCCCGAAATGCCCGAGATGCCCGAGATGCCCGAAAGGTCCTGAACCCTAGGCGCCCCCTAAATGCCCCCGCAACCCTGAGCCCAAACACCTAAACCCCTACAAGTTCCCCTTGGCCGCCAAGCTCTTCCTTGAGCTCCTCTATCCGCCGGTTCAGCTTCTCGCGGAGCTCGGCCCCTGAGCTCCGGCGCTGTGGCGGCTCAGTTGGGGGCTTCTTTCGTATCGCCCCCAACCCCAAATATGGAACGTGGGGAGAGGGGACACCCTAAACCGTGAACCTGAACCACAACTCTAAACCTTAGCATTTAAGGGCTTATGGCTTTTCAGGACTTGTGGGGGTTTTTAAGGGTGTGGGCTTAGAGAATATGGCTTTGTTTTAGGGTTGGTTGTGTAACCCTACACTCACCGGAACCCCCAATCCCGAAATACCCTAAGCCCCAAACACCCCTAAAGCCCCAAGGCCCACGCATCCTAAAAACCCTGAAATACCCTGAGTACCATACCCTAAGAAGCCTGAAAGCGCTAAAGCCCGCAGGGCTCTGGCGGGAGTTCGGCCCGGAAGGCTCCGGCGACTGCGAGAGGCTCCGCCTCGGAGGAGCACTCCGAGAGAGGGTTGGCCGGGGTGGGGGAGGGGGGGTGGCCGGCAGGACGGGGGGGGAGGGCAATCTTGCTCCGCAGTGAGCTCCTGCTCAAGAATCAAGTCTGACGTGTTCAACACCTGCAAAAGCTGCACCGTGACCCTACACCCAAAGTTGGGCTTCAGGCTTCACGGGTTTAGGGATTGAGGTGCGCCGGCGTGGTCTGGGTTGGTTGTGATGTCTTGAGGGTTTCTTGGGCTTATACAATCTGCGGTGTGGGTTTTCAGGAGCTGAAGCCCACAGCCCCCAGAAACCCAAGCAGGGCCCCTGGCGCCCGCTTGTCTTTGCTCTTTTTCTTCTTCGAGGCGGTGGCAGGCTGATCTCCGGAGGTGCAGCCGGGTTGAGGGTTTGGGCCTTACAGTGAAGGGTGTAGGGTTCTACAAACCCCTGACGGACGGGCAGATGTGTCATGCCTGCACAAGAACTCGGAACCACCTTCATTCATTGTCGCACCACGGCGCCTTCTGCTGTCGCCGCTTCTGCTATCAGCTGCGTGGTGGACTTTGCCTCATGCCGAAGCAGACACAGCAGCTACATGCAGCTAAAGACGATTTCAGGCAGAAGTGCGAACGGTCAACGTTTACACCAACACATGCAATCTGATTTACTCTTCTTTTGGCATGACGCAGGGGAGGGGTGCCAAAGTGACCTTCGATTCGACCCTCAGCCATAAACCCCACATCCTACACTAACCCTACATAAACCCTACATAAACCCTAAAACCCTAAAACCCAAACCCCAAACGCACAGTGGAGGGCTTCGGGACAGCGCACCAGAGGAACTGAGGCTTCCACCAGCTTTGGGTCCAAGTGGGCCCACTTCCCGCCCTTTGCCTGGCAGGCGGGGGTTTAGGTATGACGAGGGTTTAGGGTTTAAAGTTTACAGTTTAAAGTTTAGAGGTTTGGGGTTGAAACGTGAGTTCAGGGTTAAGGGTTTGGGGTTGCAAGGGTTCAGGATTACCCCAATTTAGGGGCTGGGATGCCATGAACTTTCACCGACCCCCTAAACCCTGCACGATGACATCTTGTCACTGCTAAGGGGCACCTGATCTGGACACTCTCTGCCCTATGGAGCCCAAACCCCACACCGGAGATGATCCAGTATAGGTAGTATAGGTAATCACGCAGTATAGGTACTATCAAAGACTCGAGTCATACAAATCGTAGAGGCAATATATGTATTGCAGGAAATATAGGTTATAATCTTGGTACAATATTGGTACCCTTGGTTGTTATATAGGGGTCATTAAGCATGTTTCTCACCAAACCCTTTGAAGAGCATTCCCACAGATGATGCTCAAATGCCCAATAAGGGGAAATTCCCAAGCACGGCACCCCTAGTCGTAAAAACCCGAATGAGACCTACAAGAACAGCCTAAAGACCCGAATAAGCCCTTTCAACCCGAATAAATACCCCACGTAAGGACAATGTACCGGCAATTCGGCAACTCTTATAGGTCTCTGGGGCGCCTGGGCACTCTCCGTCCCAAGGTAGTAGCGCGCCGGCACCAGGTCCTCCCGCCGAGTCGAGCTGCTTTTGAATTGCTTTAGGGCTGAAGGCGCAAGAAAAATTTAAAACTTCGGGGTTTAGAGTTGTCTGGGGTTGCGGACTCCCTCGTTGAACTGCTCACAGAAAGCCTATGCATGGGCTGTGCGAACTGGTTCAGAAGCTTCCCAGCACACGCCGGAGCGCTTCCCCTAACCTCAGCATCGCCAACAAAGTCCACCCTAAAATCCTAAACTTTAACTCTATAGGCCCCACACCCACACCCTGGAACCCCCAGCCCCCCACCACCACCAACAAATTGTACCATCACGGCTGCTTCATCCAAAAAAACCAGCACGTAGTCAGAAACGAAGACTCTCAGCCAAAAGTTTTAGGTTTGGGCTTCTGATATAAGGCTTTAGGATTCCAGGCTGTTAGGGTTGAGGCCTTAAGGTCCCCGGATGCGGTCCAAATAGTGATTGATCCGTCGAGCTTTTCTCCGCGTCTCCGCAAGATCGTCCGCGTCTTGGCCTCATGGACTTTTGGAGCCTTTACGGTGAAGTGATTCAAAGCGCATGCATCTCCCCTGTGCCTACAGCAGTAGCTGCAGGTGCTGAGGTTGTCAGGGCTTCAAAGGAAGTTCAGGTGGCTCTGAGAGTCAAGGGGTTGCGGGGCCAGGGTTGAGCAGTGTCGGGGTCGAAAGTCAAGGATCCTTAGGAGTTCACAAACCTCCGAACTCCCGAAGCCAGGCATCCAGTGCACCTTTGAAACTTCTAGGGTTTAGCCGTTCAAGGTTAGGCAGGGTCTCAAGCTTGATGGCATTACGCTTAGGGTCAAAAACCCCAAAAGTTTATTGCACTTGGGGAGGGTTTCGGGATTGGGGTTTAGAGGGTGTAGAGGGATTAGGGTGTTTAGGGTAGGCACTGAGCCCACGTGCAGAACCTTTGAGCCCTGCGCCGTTGTCCGGCGCGCGCTTCTTGGACCTGGGATGCCACCACGTGCCACTTCTGGGGGCTGGGCATCGGTGGGGGGGGGTGAATGCTCTTGGGGCCACGCCCAGAAAATTTTCTGAAAACCAGAAAAATAGGTAAAAAAAATGTGAACTAAAACCCCGACAATCACAAACCGTCAAAGCCCGATGACCCCAAGCTGATCCGGGCGCGATGACCCCAAGCTGATCCGGGCGCACGGCATCTGCCCCCGGACGGAGCACTGGGCTCCAGGTCCGTCGCGGCAATCGCTCAAGACGCTATGTGCTTCGCAGTTGAGGGGAGGCTGCTGATAGAAACTTCGTATTTCCAAACCTGATCCTTCCAAACCCAGTAGGGGTGGACAAAATGTCCCAAGAGCCTACCAGGCCTGCCAAGATCCCGGCTACGATCACATGGATATGTAGATCGCGAAGCCCAAAAGTTGGGGCAACACTTCTGGCATTTTGGATCTTTCGATTTCCTTATCTTGACTCCTCCGCCCGGTGCCTACCTGGTCTTCTTAAGTTACGCAACAAGGGTACAATATGATCTACTTTTCAACTCGACTATGAAATTCAATGTTTGCTCAACCCAGGAAGTGCATGTTGAAACATGTGGACTGCTTTGATGGCTCACGGCTCACTCCAGTCGCACAACCGTTGTGGTCAAGTAGCCAACACAAGTCTGAGACAAACACTAAAGTGAAGAGTTTAGGAAGGTCGTGTGCAGCGATGGAGACGGAGACGGAGAAGGAGACGGAGACCGAGACGGAGACGGAGACAGAGACAGAGAGAGAGAGAGAGAGATTGAGGTTGACGGTGTTAGGGACGACTGTCTATAAAGTTGAAGTTCTATGGCAATGGAGACGCGCCCGGCTTCACATCAAAAAGACATCTGTCCAACCCATGACCTGTTCTTGCGTGGCTGCTGCTGAGGCTTGCACGTCCCGGTCTGTCGGACCGACACGATTGGAGTTCGGATGGACACTGCCAGCTCCCAGCCTATTCGTCCAACTTCACAGGATATCTAGCTGTGAAGTCATGGATGGTACTGCACTTCGGCTCTGATTCCTATTGTGAGACTACTACTGGGGTTTCACGAGATGCTTGACAACAGCTGCCAACAGCTTGCAAGCCCACTCAGGATCTTCAGGGTTGTCACCAAGAGCTGGGTTCGGGGTTGGGGTTCAGAACTCCGGATTCATGCTAAAAATAGCCTTTGCAATACATCACGCAAACCCCTCGGACAGAGCATAGCTCAATTTTTTTGGCACGGTCGACAAAGCATGCGTCTGGCAACCACGAATCATCCAAGTCGCCGGCCTAGCCAGGTGTTTGTTGACTGGGCTGTGATGGGCTAGGGCGAAGTTTAGGGTTCATTCCCACCTAACCTAATTCCCCGCAATGAATCTCAGATTAAGAACTTGTACGAACATGCCTGGACAGTTTCGGCTGTATGCCATGAACGATACAGCCACGACTGGCCGCACCTCTCTTCATGGAGGCTTTTCGGGTCAGCCTTTGGGCTTCGGGGAATTGGCATCAACCTCGAACAATGAGCACTCAATCACACCTATGTCCTCAGCTCTAAAGCCTCAACAACCTCAACCAACCCAAAACCCCTCAATCCCAAACCCCACACCGTCGCACCAACAAAAAGTGGATCAGTCGGCAGCTGCAACAACGCCTCCCAACCCAAGAACGAAGCCATTCAAAGCCCCAAACCCATTGGGGCTTGTAAGGGTTCCGACCGTCAGAATGACACGTGGCGGAATCTCAAGGCTTGGGGCTTTGAACCCAGTAGGCTTCTTGGCAATGGCTGGAAAAGAGCTTGATTCGGATGGCGCGATCGAGGCAAGCGCCAAGACATGCCGGGCCCGTAATTCATGAGCAACCCGTAGAAGTTTTGAGGTCTCTCAGCGTGGACTAAACAGAGCAACGAACCCCAAGCCCCAAACCCACTGGGGGTTGTTGGGGGTTCCGTGGTTCGGAGTCTCGAGCTTTAGGGCTAGGGCTTTGCACACCACACCTAACCTAAAACTTCCGAGCCCCCTAAGCCTAAACCCTAAAGACGGAGCCACTTTGCCCACTGCAACCCCGCAAGGCTTCAACCTTCAGGCACCTCCTTGCGCAGATACACCTTGGCCCAACGGGGCCGCAGGAGGACGGAGGAAGGAACCAAAGCCCAACCACCCCTAAACCCTAAACTCTAAACCCACTAAGCGCCTTAAACTCCCCAAACTCCCTAAGCTCTACAAGTATCTATCTACAACCTCACACTGGCGCCAGCGACTCCCCCGAGCCCTGACTAAGCCCTTGCTCAAAACCTAAAACCCTAAACCTGGCACCGCTAAAACCGGCACCGCCCACTGGCCTGCAGGGCCCGGCGGCAGTCCTGTTCGGCCTTCGGGAGGAGTTTAGGGAACTTAGGCAGCGTGGGGAGTTTGAGGAGTTTCGTGGGTTTCCAATTTCGGACTTCGCGCAGCTTCCGGCGTAGGCCAAGAAAGCAAGGCGATGCAAGGCGCAACTGTGCCGGCAGCGGCAGCGGCGTCATCATGGAGAAGCCCCCTACAAATATTTATCTAATAGCCTCAATCCTCACCCTCGTAAAGTTTGCAAGCCGCCCAGCAGCCTTTTGGGCAACCACCGCCGATTGACCGAAATTATAACAACATTGGTACCGGTTGACCGAAATCTGGAAAATGCTGAATAAGTTAGTACCTGCATATGTAAAACGGTTAGATAGAGTTTAGACTTGAGTGCCTCGGGTTTCGGTTTCGGTTCAATATAGTATTGGGCTTTGGGTATTGGGTTTTCTCACTTAACGTTTAGGGCTCAAGTTTAGAGGGTGCGGCTGCCAGACTTTTGTATGTTGGGTCGGGGAGTAGTGGACATGACGCGCGATGTCAGCTGAGCCTCATGAAACCCCCTAAACCAGTTCAGTGGTTTACTATTCGGAAAGCTCAGCCTCAGCCCTCGAAAATCGTAACCCCTAAACTTCTAAACCCAAAAACTTGATACCTGAGCCCTGAAACCCTTGCGCTTCTCGCCTGTTGGGCTCGCCGGCGGTAGACAGCTTGCTCCGCTGCCCTAAGAATCGAGCGGCTGCTGGGGGGGGGGGGTTGCGGGGAGGGCGGGGTGTGGGGGGAAGGGGGGGGTGGGGCTGTTGGAACTCTCGGCAATTGGGCTGCACAACCCATCCCGCCATGGAGTTGCGGAGGGGGGGGGGGGGGCGGGCAACCCCCGGCCTCTCCCCTGCCCCATTTGCAAACACAATTTTGTACAACTGTCAAGGATTAAACAAGCGGCGAGGGCTTGGGGAGGCGCAATATGATCGTGCGACTGTCAATGGAAAAAAAGCATGCGGGGCCGAGAAGCCCAAAAATTTACATAATGCCGGCGAAGACCCCAAGCAGTAAGATTGTTGAGGAAAAATGCGTCAAACAACAACGCGACACAAAATTCGACTGGCGTTTAGGGCTACCCTAAACTTCAATGTTGGCCCCTTCATGTCGTCATGCAGCACCAGCGCATGAGTCAGAACCCGAAGACATAGACATGGTTCATGCCTTTCTTGCCCCGAATAAACGGAACATGCCAAACTCTATATATATATATATGTATATATATACTTTTTTCTATATATAAACTATATACATACTCTACATTTATATATACTACACATACTATATATACAATATATATATATATATATACAATATATAAACTATAAATAGTATATATAGTATATATACTAGAATATATATACATATACTATATAGACTATATATACTATATATTTTATAATGTTTCTGGACTATATATCTATATATACTATATCTACTAACCTACTATATAACATATACATACTATATATACTATATATACCTTATGTACTATTATATTATATATATTATAGATACTATATATAGACATACTATACTAGGATATACTATAAACATATACATACCTATCTAGAGATATTATATATACTCTCATATATACTATATATAATACCTATATATACTATATATACCTATATATACTATTATATATATATACATTTATACTATATATACTATATATACTATATTACTTAAAAATTTACTATATATACTATACATTCATCTTGACATTTTATACTGTATATATTCTATACATACTATTTATTGTATATAACAGAAAAACGACAAAAAAATATCTACTATCTATACTTTCTATATAGTAGTAGTATATTCTATTAGTATATTAGTATATTAGTTATATATAGTATATATACTACATATACTATATATACTATATATACTTATAACTAATATACTATATATACTATATATACTATATATACTACTATATACTATCTATATAATATACTAAATATATATATACTTTAATATACTATAATATACTATATATATATATTACTAAATACTATATATACTTATATATATATACTATATAATATACATATACTATGTGTACTATATATACACATATATTTAATCTACTATATATACTCTATTACTATATAGAACTATAAATACTATATATACTAATATATACTATAATATAACTATATATATAGTAACTATATATACTATTATACTATAATATACTATATTATATATATATATACTATATATACTATATAACTATATATACTACTATATACTATATATCTATATATACTATATACTATATATATCTACTATATACTATATATATAATATTACTATATATACTATATATACTATATAACTATTTATACTATATATACGAATATATATACTCTATATACTATATATAACTATATATCATATAATCTATATATACTATATATATACTATATATACTATATATACTATATATACTATATATACTAATATATACTATATATACTATATACTAATATACGATATATACTATTTATACTATATATACTATATATACTATATATACTAATATAATATATACTATATATAACTATATAACTATATACTACTATATATACTA